TAATTATTTTCAGCATCATTACTGTTTCTCATTTTCACTTTGATTTTTTTTTGTTCTTATTCCTATTGTGTTAAAATATAAATAAAACCAAACCAAAAGAAACCATGACTGCCTCACAATAATCAGAGCCTTCAGAATCTAGTGCAAATGTTGTCCACCCCTACAGTCCTGCACCAAGGAGCTGTCTGACTACCTCTGAGTTCTGCCATGGTAATGGACTTATTCGCCACCCTCCCCAAAACCACAGAAGCTGCAGGATGTTGAGAGGCTGTCATGGCTGACATGTTTCTTCAGTGTGACATGGAGRACTGAGACAGCACCTGAAGACTGAGGTGTTGGTTCCCATTTTCAAAAGAGGGACCAGAGAGTGTTTTCCTTTTATCAAGGGTTCCTAACCTCTCTGGAAAAGTTTACTCCTGCTTGCAGGAATATAGGCTACTGGGGTCATTTTCAAGCGCTATCCAGACCCTGTAAAACCATACACACAAGCTGTGCCCACATCCTCAGCAAAAAGTTGAGCTTGTTCAGGTCGGGCTTTGCCAGGACTGTTCCTTGTCTCTGATCCTGTTTGTGCATCTTGGGCTTCTGGTTTGAGAACCTCAGGGTTTCTTTGCAGATTAGAATCACTGCTCCTCCTATCAAGAGGACGAAACTGAAGCGGTTGGGTCATTATATTAGGATGCCTCTTGGACGCCAACTTTCAAAGCTTTTCTGGGCATGTCCCACTGGAAGGAGACCCCAAGTCAGACCCAACACTGGGGACAGGGATGTCTGGGTTTCCCTCTTGGACATGTTGTCCCTGCGATCTGACCACAGATAACCAGTAGATGGAGGGAAAAACCAAAAGTAGTTTGGTAGAAGTGGGAAATCTGCTCCATAAAATTTTATTTAATGTTTATTATTTTTAAAAATAATAAAAGTTTGGTATTTATTTAAAAAAATRTAATATATTTTTAAATTAATTTATGTCAGAAATCTTTATAAATATGAACTGATACACATGGTCAGGTCTACATTGATTATTTACAAACTGTGAAGCACTTTTCTGTTTATGCCTCAGGTTATTTCTCTTCAGTAACAAGTTGACTCAATCTTGTTTTTCCTTACCTCGCTCTGAACCGTACCACTGCTGTGGTACTTGCCCAACATGGCTAAGTGAGTGAGCAGCCACCATGTGAAACCCAGCAGGTCTTTACAGTGCGAGGGGAGGCCACTGAAGAGCTCTGCTGTAGGTTTCTCTGAAACCAAGGGTCTCATCAATGACGTCATGTAGCTCCAGAAAGACTAGAACGAGTAAATGTTTGTTAATAACATTTTAGCAGTTTATTGGTGCGATTGTCTACAAGCATGGATTTGTGTTACCTCTGTGTGCAATGTCTTGTTCCTGCATTCCACCAGGTGCATAAGCAGGATCCAGAGCTCTTTGGTGCAGGGGCAAAGGTAATGATTGCTGCTCAGTGCCTCTGTGGGCCTCACCTAAAAGTTCAAAATCATTCATTTAACAATAGTTGCACTTTTGGTCCGTGTGATTTTTATCACCTGCTGCCCAAGGAGAAAGGTAAATCATGGTTCTGTGTGTGGGTGCACCATGTATGTGTTCTTAGCCAAATCTATCACAAACATATTAATGAAATTCTCAGGAAGCAATCACTGGATGTACACCTACAACTGACTGACCTTTGGACTCGATCCAACTCAAACGGCTGCAACAGATAACTACATTAGTTACCAAAAACCAAAACAACACAATCAGTTTTACAGATATTGAACTAAAAATGGGAGTGGTTGTAACTTGGAGACATTCCCAACATATGTCTAGTGCTACACACTGCACAACATCGTTGCATAAATCTGGAGATCACTGTTAAGATTCAACACCGTTTGTTTGTTAGCAAAATATCTCATGAACCACTGGATGCATTTAATTTAACTTTTAGAAAATAATCAAAGGATCTACAAATCATTAAGGTTTGGAGTCAAACCCATTTAAGACAGCAACTACTGATATTAATGTTAGAAATCTTAATTAGCTACAACTCTGTCAATTTTACATTTCTTTTGCTGTTTGGTTTGATAGTAGCTGAGAGTCATTCCCTACATATCATATTACGAGGGATTTTTCGACAAACATTACCAAAGTTTGACCAAAAACAACTATAACTCTGCTCCTATCATCTAAAGATTTCCCTTTAAAGTTGGGGTATTATGTATTATGAGCACATAGTTCAATTCTATAACACCATCAAGTAACTATGTTACCTTGTTAAATTTGGCTTTGCATCACAGCCTCTATAAACGCCTTTAAATTGGTCTCTGTCTCTTTAAGAACTTCCTACCGTTTCCGACACTCCCACTTCAGCTCATCCTCACAACAATATGCTTCATGCTGCTTGCAAACTTTCATAGGAAAGGTTTTAAGAGGGTAGTTTCCTTGGCATCCAAAAAATGCATTTCCTCAATCAAGACATTTTAAATCTAAAAAAAGGACTGGCCTGAGAAGTTTTTATTACAAGCTTAACAGACGTGCAGTTCCACCAGGAGTTTGCTAATTGTTGCTGCTGCTAGTTGTGGAGGAGCGAGGGAGGGGTGCTCTGTGGGGCGGGAGCTCGCATGCAGACTGAGCTCCAGGGAAGGGCTTTGTACAAATAGGTGGAGCTTTGTACCAGTAAGAGTTTAAGCAGCTCCACGTGACTACCACAGGGGAGTCGAGGATTTCTCAAACACACATGAATGAGTTAAACTCTGGGTATGTTTTTGATGAGGGAATGACATTAGAACATGATATAAAGCTCAAACAAATCGATTTTGCATTATACTTTACTCCACACACCTAAAAAAAAACTTGGGCACAAAAGATGATGGGCAATATGCAGGTCTTTAATTGAATAATATTAATATTAGTAGCTCTGAGTCAGTTTCTGTTGAGCAAATGTAAATTGTGGCAATTTCATTAAAGGCACAGTGTGTAGGATTTGTTGTTTTCAGCGACATCTAGTGGTTGAGTGGTTGAATCATCCTCCCTGGTCCTCCCCCCACCCCCACCCCCGCTTCCAAACACAAAGGAGTTGCTACGGTGTCTCTCAGGTGTCAAAAACCTTTGATAATTCCAACCACAATGTCTACCAGCAGCTTCAGGGCTAGTGATGTTTCAAGTGGTAAGATTATGAGCTTTAATAAGTAAAATTATCCCAGCTACAATGACAGACAACAAATATTACATTTATAGTATTACAACTAAAACTGTTTTTGACGCCGCCACCGCAGTTTGTCCTTCATGAGCCTTCGTAGACAAGATGGCGGTGCAAGATGGCGGCTGCCTGTAGTGGCGACCTGCGACCATGGAGATATAAACAGCTTTTTATAAGGTAAAAATAATAAAACAAGGTCTTTGTCTGCAATGATTAGACATGTTTTTTTTATTATTGTCATTACTGATTAACTCAATTTCGGCTAAAAGAATTGACAAAATCCTACATACTGTGCCTTTAAATTATTGTTACATTTTTCAGCTAGAAAGAAAATGAAAGAAAAACAAAAACAAACAAACAAACAAAACAAAACAAAACAAAACATAAACACCACCCACCTTGCTGTACTTGCTCATGGCCAGGCCAGTGAGGTCGCACAGAAGACTGCACAGGTGTTCCTCAAACAGACTGGTATCAGTCAGGTTCTCTCCCGTCAGGTTGACAAACTGGTGGGCGTAAACCACCTGGCCTGGAGGCAATTCCGACGATAATGACTCAGAATAACAAACACAAATCATATGTCACAAGTAAAGATGGCCAAGTTCCTACTTTCTGCCTACCACACACATACCTCGCATCTTCTGACCAAGAGCATGAAGGATCTCCAAGACTGACCAGTGTGTGTCAAGATGAAGATGTAGCAGATGCCAGGAGGGAGGAAAAATCTGTGGGTGGAATGCGTAATATGTTAGAAGTAAATAAATAAATAAAATGAGTTGAAGTGAAAAGAAGCCTACATTTTTCTTAACATTATTTCTTGTAAAAATCCCTTATTTTGCAGCTCCTTCTTTGCTTTCTTTAAGAATATCATTCCTATGCATCACAAGCTCTACACGACATCTGAGCTGCAGTCTGTCATGGATGATAAATAATGTTGAGGAGTACCTTTCCGTGGTTTTGTATACTGAAAGCACTTTGAAGACTGGCGGGCAGGTCCTTCAGTCGTCCTGTGAGGAGAGTGATGCTGAACACTTCCTCCAGAAGAGCAGAGGGGAACTGATGCTCACGTTCCTCGTAAGGATGTGAGTGATCTGCATCCTGGGACCCACATGGTCTCAGATATCTACATACACATCAATAAAATAATAATACAGTCAAACCCAAGAAACGTGGAACTACCAGGAAATATAGATAAAAACGTGTGACTTATTGTTCCAAAGGTTGAGTGTTAAATATGTTTATACCTGTGCAAGAAGACTTTAACATATTGAAGAAATGAAACACACTGTTGTCGAAGGTCTACTGCTTCATAGTGCAGATTACCGGCTTTTCCTAAAAAACAAAAACAAATGTTACTTATAACATTGCATCCATAAAAAGAAAGATTTATTCATTTTGACCGTATATTTTGTTAGTGGTCTTTGTTTCTTTACAAAACAACCTGATGCACAATCATGGTTTGAATTCCTCTCAATTAAACCTCGCAACTCCATGGTTTCATTTATGTTCAACCATTCAAAATGTATTAATAATCACTAAATTAGTAGGCATTAGATATGTACATGCATGCATTTGTAATATCTTAAAATTATARGACAAAACAGATGACGTGGCTAGCATTAATTATTTTGTTATGGTGCAATTTGTAGCCATGAAATGCAAAATACATTTTAGGCTTGACTGAGTTACGTTTCTACACACACTTACCAAAATCATTTGAGTTAGACTTCACCAGGTTCTCCAGTTTATAAAATGTTTGTCTGAAATATAGCAGAGCTTAAGCAACACCAGAACAACAACAAATGAACTGTAGTGGATATTACATAAAAAATTATAATAATAAAATAGGAATCTCTAAGCGATTTAATTTTTTTGTATTTTAATAAGCAGGGATATAGATTAAGTGAAAAATTGAAAGGTAGGAGGTTCTTAAAGAGACAGAGGCCAATTTCAAGGTGTTTAGATAAGCTATGATGCGAATTCAAATTTATTTTTAATATACACAGCATTTTCATAACAACTGAAGGTTGTTAGTTAATTGATTGTGGTGTGGAATTGAATTAAGTGCCAGGAAAATACATAAAACAACCCCTTTATTATCCTTTACTTTCCTTACCTGAACAAGCCAAAGAGTAACTTTGTAGATTCCACCAGTGCTGTCTCAGTGACCCACAGAAAGCCAAATATCTCCACCGTGTCTGCCTGATACTCTGCAGGTGCTGGATCCAGACTCAGCAGCAGCCTTAAGAGAAAATGCAGTGACAACCAAAGTTTTTCAAAACATTTTCTTTTTATTCTACATCATTCAACAGGTCTTTCTTTTCTTGTAAATGAAAATACCAGTCTCAAAGAAATTACTGCTCTAAATAAATAAAATAAATAAATTTAACATTTGGTGCTTTAAGAAGGAAAATATTCAATAAAACTCAACATCCAAGGTGAAACGTGTGTATATTTGTGATTATGCAGACAGATGTTGAACGAACCGTTTCAGAGACCCTCGTGCAATATACCCATCAGTAGAAAGAGCCCCAGTGGGGTCATCTTTCACTTCGGAGCAGCAGAAACACGGTGGTCGAGTGGGAGTGAGGTCACACTGGCTGTCTGCTGGAAAGGGAGAGACCGGTGGAGTGAGGGACTCGCTGAATTCATCGGCCATGCTGTTTGTGCACAATCAGTACCACCTGTAACGGAACAGAGAACATTAAAAAATGATTTATTTATTTTAAATTTCATGAAAGTGGCCAGTTAAGAWGTAACTTCTGAGAAGATGTCACATTATTTGTGACATATAAAGGCAGAGGTTTCTAAACTTCCACAAAATAAAATGTTGCAGTGAATTGTGACCTATACAATTGTGACTTAGGTCACAACCTGACCTAAGTCATTTCATCAATTTTACCTAATACAGGTTTTTAACGCATTTTAACATTTTTTTTAATCATTGTAGCAGTTGAGGCTATGCTATTAGCAATCCATTAAGTTCATTTGACTTCCATTGATGTTCTAAAGACCCCACACTTAATTCGGACCCATCCCCCTCCCTGACTTTGCAAACCAATGACTTTAATGAATGTATGTCATTTGTATGAACTAAGGTTAGATATGTCCATTCCGCATAAATATGAAATCACCGCAAATCACAAATTGACTCTAAAGACACCATAACATTCAAAACCGGGATAGAAGACTTCATTTTTTCTTGTCTTGTCTTTCTTTCGTCTGACATGAACTTTAAACACATTAAATTAACTTTAATCCATCAAAACCAACCCCTCCGAAAACCCAGCGTTTGGGAAACATTTACTTACCGTTCGATTCGTCTTTCACCGCAATTCTTGTGGCGTGATATGAAACCAGTGAATAATAAAAACACACAGCCTCCATTAATATTTACTCTCCCGCGCCTGTGCTTTACGCATGCGTACACTCGCTGTCCAGTCTGATGATTGGTCAGAAGTTTGATAGCGGGCGTGGTTCAGTCTGTCCGTCCCCCTGACGTTCCGCGTCACAAGAGAGTTCCCTGTTAAGTACTTCCTGTATCGCTGTGTTTTATCTCAGCTTGCCAGAGTTTATTAACCTGTAGTTGTCGTACGTAAAACCAGCCCGTTATTCTCTAATAAAACTAAGAGAATCAGCGTAAAAAAGTATTTTTTTTATTTTATTGACCAGACAGAAAACAAACATTAGGTAGAAACATCATGTAAATATCGTACTATATGGCCAGAGTTATTATATTCAAACTCTATTTCTACTGGGCCACACTACTCGTACAATGAAGGCAACTTTTTTATTTTGCCGTGACTTTTCCATTATTTCTCAAGCCAGTGTTCCTCCTCTGGCTCTGTGCGGTATTCCTGCCCAAGCTAATTYAACATAATGCAGCGATTTAAGTGGAATTTTTAACGACCCGAGCCCTAATTTCCATATGCAGATCTGTCTCTCCCAACCGTACCYCTCGCCATCACACCATTTCTTGCATTCTAATGCATTCTCACATCTTCACAAAATCCTCCCTTCTACCACTCGCCGTGGATGTGCTCGTTTTTGTTAAGTTAAAAAAAAAACAACGCTTTTCCCTCCCCCTCTACACATTTAACTTGCGCGGCCGAGAGATGCACAATAAACGCGGTGTTTTGCATGATTTACTTTGCATCTTTTATCTGCACCAGTCAGCGGAGACAGTTTAAAAAATGGACACGTCGGGAATTATTATCGCTTTTTTTCTTCAAATGGAAGCTTCGACCTGCCGCTCTGCTTTCACCAGGAGGCAGTCCGACTGTGAAGGCTCTGTCGCCTGGATGAGAAAGGTAAATGCCCTTTTTTTTCTGTTCCTACGCTCACAAAGACAGTCTTTCCTGTGATGCAAAGAGGGAGTGAGATTTGAGCCTCTTTCACCCCCTCCTCCCCTCTGGTCTTGTTTCCAAAGCTTTCATTCATTTCCCTACTCACTTCAGTTTTTTATTGTCTGGAAAATTTACWAACATTCTAGATCAGGGGACTGTTTCCTGGCTCCACACCTTCTTTTTGTAGCAGGAGTAAGAGGACTGGTTGCTTACAGTGAGATGATATCCTAAGATTGTACTTGCATTTTGTCAAGGCTTTCAGTCAGATGAACTAAATGAAAGGTGTGTAAAGAGACCCCTGAACATTGTCTGCTCCCACCAGACAGGTGAACCCCATGTTAGACCCCATGATGTGGAACTATGCTGCTGATGCACTGTATTACAATGTTGATTAGCTCAAATCTATGACATTCTTCTATAAAAACAATTCTACAACTGTTCCATGTTCCATGCCAGTTAAAAATAACTTGCAGAAAAACCTTCAGCCTGTGTGTTTCCTGAAACCACACTTACACACATATGGTAAAAAGAAACGTTAATTAATGCAAATAAATTTCTAATCTTTTCTACTTTACCAACATTGTAAAGTCATGAACAGAACTTCCAGAGACAGCAGTAATTATAATTATACAGTAATTATAATTATTTGAGATATTTTGGATTGTAGTTGCACAGTAACCTTAACTGAATTTATCCATCAATCTGAAAAGAACTGCATGAAGAAAATTACAAAAAAACATATAATGTGTTTTCCACCTTTAATAAAGTTGACAAAGTTAATAAATCAACAGCAATTTAATTGTGTTCAATAAAATGACAGGAGTTTGTTGCCCAATTATCCCCTGTTGTTAACGTGTCATGCCTGCCACGTGCAATTTCTGTTTAGAAAGATGCTTTGAAATTTAAAACCTGGAGTTGTTTTAAGCTTTGTTTTAGGAACTGTTTCCTCTCAAACCGTACTGAGGACTTGTCTGTTGCAAATTTTGCCATCTTTTAACAGCAACAGTTTTCAAAAAATTATAGCAGTAGGTTTTCCACACTAGAATCTGGGACTGGGCAGTTGCTGCTGTTCCAGTAACTGCAGGACCTGGAGACAGAATGGTCAAAAAATAGAATTTTGAGCCAAGTTTTAAGACAGAGATAGAAGACAGGTCTGTCTGGATTAACCTCTCTACGACGGACATGTCTCCCAATCATTTCTACTGTTTTACAGATGGATCCCTTCTGAAGGGGTCAGTAGGTGCAGGGGTGCTTATTTTGCACAACCATAGTTAGAGAGAGCATAGGTTGTTTTGCAACTGTATCTCAAGCTGAGATATATGCAATCCACCAGTGTGTGGCATCTCTCAAAGACCTTCAGTGTACAGAGAAGGAAATATTCATCCTAACAGAAAGCCAAGCTGCTATTAAAGCTCTCCGAGGGCCACACTTTACGTCATTACTGGCTTGGGAGTGTGCCAAAGCAGTCAACCAACTGGGGAGAGATAAAAGTGTTACTGTTAAATGGGTACCAGGACATACTGGCATTTATGGTAACGAGGGAGCTGACTACCTCGCAAAAGCTGGCAGTCAGGCTCACTTCAAAGGACCAGAGCCTGTTGTAGGTATCTCAACAACAGTCTGTAGGACTGCCCTACAGGCCTAGACGTCAACACTCAATCCTCTGGAGGGAGCTGACGGACTGTAGACAGGCACAGGAAATGATTAACGGCCCAAATCTAAGGTTTGGGAAAGCTCTCATCTCCCTGTCAAGGAAAACTCTAACTACACTGGTTGGAGTCCTAACTGGGCACAATCTGCTCAACCGCCACAAAATGGTGATGGGACTCCATGACAATGGTCTGTGTGATGCCTGTGGCAATGAATTAGAGACCTCTTTGCACTACTTAGACCACTGTCTGGCTCTGAGTGGTCAAAGGAAAAGAATTCTTGGGGACCCCTTTATGGATCCTGAGAAGCTCAGGACACTGAGTTTTTCTAACCTTGTGTCCTTCATCCGAGGGACGAGAAGGTTTGAATGAAGACCAGTGTCTTTTTGGGGAGAGCAATGGGCCCACTTAGGAGGCCTCCGCTCATGTGGATTTTATATCCATCCCCACTCACCATAATATAACCATAACCATAACGAGTCATGCCTGCCACGTGCAATTTCTGTTTAGAAAGATGCTTTGAAATTTAAAACCTGGAGTTGTTTTAAGCTTTGTTTTAGGAACTGTTTCCTCTCAAACCGTACTGAGGACTTGTCTGTTGCAAATTTTGCCATCTTTAACAGCAACAGTTTTCAAAACATTATAGCAGTAAGTTTTGTTATTGACACCATTAATCTATTGTCAGTTTCACGTTACACAACAATTTCATCAGAAATACTTTAAAGGTCCTGCTGGAAGGGCCTCAGCCTGCTCTGGATGTCCTGCTGCTGCTATTTGGGCTGGAAAATAAATAAATAAATAAATAAATAAACATAAACATAATTCTACACTCAAAACAAATGATTTGTTGAATTTATTTGACTAAGTTAAGTCAAATGGTTCCAGTGAGTAAATATAACAATATTTATGCAAGTAAAATTTCATTACATTTAGGATACTTTGGATACTTGTCCTGTTTCAGACCCAGTTTGTTCCAAGTTTCAGCTGTTGGACAGATGGCCTCACATTTGACTCTGAGATACTTTTGTCTTGACAACTGTCTAGTTAATTACTATAAGGTGTCTACACTGTAAAAAATACCCCATATCTACTCAATAAAAATGAAGCAACAGGTTACAAGCAATATTAAAAAGTAAATTTTACAATGTTTGGAATTGAGTAAATATTAATTAAATGGAACTCTTAATAGTTATTCATTTAATATAAATAGATTTGAATAGAAAACAGTACAGAATTAATTAAAACGTACACAAAAATGTTGAGT